GACGCTTATATCATCTTTACACGGACTACAACGGACTATAGCTAACTATTGTAGCTACTTTGTATGTCTTTCGTGTACTAGTGCCCGAATTGATTGGCTTTTCGGTGCTTTTGCGGTCATGTGACATACTGCGGCCCAACTAACTTCGTCTATCGCAACAACTTTCGCTGTCGTTCGTACACTTTTAGGACCTTTATCATGCTTTGAGCTCTTTATCAGCACTATATGGACCTTCGGATGGACCTCCGGAAGTTGTATAAGACACGCGTAGTAGTAAAAGCTCGCAAAATAGTCCTTCAAGCATGTCCAATAGATGTATGTTAAGTTCGAGAATAGTACTTGACAGACTACGAGGCAAACCCAAAGACATCTCAAGTAGATTGAAGTAGGGAAAGAGCTGAATAGACAAGGGCATGACTTTTTCGATCTGTTTGGTCTTTTTGTACTTTCACGGGCGCCTATAAGGACGGAATAGGACGAATAGTTGCCCGTGGATTCTCCTGATGTCGCTTCCCAAGGAACACTTGCATCTGGCGATTGTCGACGTCGGTTTGATCGACATGCGGTGAGCAAGGTAGGGGCGGGATTTACTTGCGTCTCAGGGTCATAGCCATACTAATCTGCAATCACTTGTTGGCCAATGCTGTGGGCCTAGTTCACAGCTGTGAGCTTTCAGGCTTAAGTGCGGGCGTGACTATTCATGCGCAACCTGTACCTAATATAGCGTTGCCATCACAACATGTCTCTGTTAGTATATCGGATAGTACACGCGCCTGTCACCTCGTCGGGGACTCAAACCCTGGTTTAGTGCGCGCGAAAGCAGGGTTCGACTCCCTGACAGAGAGTTCCTTTTTGACCACGCTTGATACCAGTTGAAACTATGTAGCGGAACGAGCGAAAACGAGAGGACAACGGCCGGAAGATTTGCGATGTTGCATAGGTGTTCAGTTTCGAAAAAGGAATGATCGAAGATGTCACTGGCAGACTTTGACATATTCTGTCCAAGTGTCAATCGACCTGATCGATCGCATTGATAAGCTCTTCGTTCACAGACAAAGAGTATCTATGTCGCCCTTGACTATGATGTTCCTACCGGGGTTAATGTATAGGTAAAATTTGTTGGTACGGCCCCTGCGTCGCTCCGCAGTAGATGGTCCCCCCACCCGCTCCGCGGACAATGGTAGCGCGCAAAGGCCACGGTTCGACTCCCCAACAGAGATTTCATTTTTCGCCGGACTACGCAGTGTTCATTTCGAGGTCAATGTATACCAGCACATATGAAAGGTTTTTCTCTATCTCAAATTCATCCCGGCATTTCGGTTACGAAATGGATGACAACTTTTGATCTGCGCAAACGGGAAAACTTATACTACGTCCATTTCATTCCCGTGCTACGGGGACAAACCAGAGAATAGTTTATACAGAGTGTATCCAGAATGCTTGAGATATTCCGTCACAAGCAGGAGGCACCTGTCCATTGAGAGAGTTCATGTCGTTCGGGAAATACGGACGCGGAATGCTACACGGTGCGTAGCAAAACATTTCGCCCGGGAGATACTGGGGTGAGTCGAACGACGTACATAAACATATGTTCTATTCCGCAAACGGATAGTCAGTGTACCCCTTCGGGTCCTCGAAAGTGTAGAATGTACTCCGATCCCATTTCGTGATCGGAATATTATCCCGCAGACGCCGAGGCAAGTCCGGCTGTCAATCAAAGCATCATTTATAACACACTGCTCAAAGAGGTAAGGAGAGGAATCTTACATTGGATATAAACGCACGCCCAATCGCGACGAGGTCTCCGGTCTTGCTGACATGTTCAATGGCGCTATCGCGAGTAAACCCGCCGGCACTGATGACCGGTCGAGGTGCCCATATAGCACGGATGAAGTCATTCGACTACAGCCAAAATCGGTTTAGTGACTATTGCCTTACCCAGGGAGCAACGACGTAGCGCACCTCGCCTTGCTGTACCTCGCGATCTCTGTCGCCGGTGGAACGTGGTTCGATAACATGAATGTACGCGAGATCGGGATGCTGCTGCCGCAGTTGCTCTACAAGATGAGAGAATTGTGGCACAGGGTTGCCCATACGCATCTCTGCGAATCATAACACGATTAGTTATACCACCAAAGGACGCGTTTCGTAGACGCACCCCAGAATTCGCCCCAGGGACTTAACCGTAATCCTGTCTTCTTCGGCCCCACGGCATTGGCGACGGCAGAAACAACCTCCAAGGCGAACCGGGATCTGTTCTCGATCGAGCCTCCGTACTCATCACCGCGTCGATTTGTCATGTCCTGGATGAACTCGTCAATCAGGTACCCATTCGCTCCATGTACCTCAACCCCATCAAACCCAGCCCGATGCACAGCATTGTGAGCCGCCCTTGCAAATGCATCAACGTGAACTTTGATCTCTATGGAACGGGCGGGCGTCAGTATGTTCCCGGGATGTCACAGTAGTTGAGCCGCGCACCGGGGATGGTAAGAGGACGCGGTGCAACGGTTTGCGTCGATAATCTCACATCTGACACGTCTACATAATCAAAAGCAGGGTCCTCGTCTTTCAGGACATCGGGGTCATTCGCCCGTCCGCCAGCCCAAAGCTGCAGAAATATGAACGAGCCCTTCGCATGCACGGCGTCAGTCACCTGTGTACAACCACAGCCTCAATTAGTGTCCGGACAGTATCCATGAGATAGTATACCTACGCATTTTCAAGCAGCAATCTGGTCATCAGCCCAGATTCCCGGAACATGGGAGAAGCCAGCAGTCCGCGCGAATACGGCCGTTGCCTCTGCAATGAGCAGTGTGCCGGGTTCACTCGCGCGCTGCGCGTAGTACTCCGCTGCGAATTCAGGCATGACATGTGCCTTATTCGCGCGCGAGCGAGTGAGAGGGGGGAGGACGATGCGGTGGGCGAGCATCAGCTCGCCTACTTTGATGGGCTGAAAGAGCTTAGGCTGCGAGGACATGTTTCTGATGCACGGGTGCTAGTGGGTACTGCGTAGCGACTCTTCTCGCTATCGCGTTGTATCTGAAACGCATCCTATGTTGCACTTTACGGTGCTTACTCAGAGCAGGTTCTTAGATGGATGATTAAGCAGATGCATACCAGAGCTGACAAATGTGAATGCTGACAGAACCGACTCAGAGCATGCGAAGACACATGTACAAGTAGATAACCACTCACCAAATGAACCTGGAGATGTCGAATCGTTCCGACTTCCGGGCTTCTCGAATATGAGGACAATGACATAATACTCTTGCCAGTGCTTGGGTACCGGGCGGCTGTGTCCGCCATCTACCGCACTACATTTCGTGGTGTTTTATTGTTCTCAGCCGCGCTGTTAGTCATTGTCCGAGCAGCCTTGTATCCACAGACACGGTACACCTACTCGACCATTCCTTCCCAGTGCTATCGTCAGCAGCTACTCAGCGTGACCACGACATTCTCGCCCACCATCGGCTTCTGTCTCCCTTCGCCTTCACGCTAGCTTCCTCCCTAGAAGCCTCTCGCCTCTGCTCCAGCCACGAATGTTCCTCGAGGCTGTTCCCGAGGTGGAGATGACCGGAAAGCGTTCCTTGAGGTTTTGTAGCGTTGTCAAGGTGCCCAGGTGGGCAAGAAGTCCGGTTTAGATCGTGTAATTGTGCAAGATGGGTGGAAGAGGACATGGGAGGTCAGAGTAGTAGTCGCCTGCGGTAGAATAGGACGCGATCAATGGTTACGGGCGGTACAGTAGATGCGGGGAGCACAACGGTAGAAAAACGCGAGATATGAGATGTATATGGGTAGAAAAAAGTGTACATGCGCATCAAAGAGGATCTATGCACAGAGAGAAAACCTATATGCGCAGAAAAAGGGGGGCATGCGCGGAGGTCATGTTCATGCAAAGCTGAGAGGGGCACACTACAGTCGGTGACAGCGCTCAGAGTGAGCGCAGCTGCGCAAGCGCTTGAGCGCTGAATCGAACCTCAGATGTTTGCGATCACGAGGAAGTTTACGTCCCTAAACTGATTTTTCTCACTATCAGCATGCGCGCGTACAACAGTCTTTGAACATCGATTGAGGTTGATATGAATTCTGAGGCTGATCTCGGTACGACACTACTGCGGTCAAGCGGAATAGTACTAGTTGCCAGGACCTTTCGCTATATGTGATCGAGCTGATAGGGCTCCATGGCGCACATACATGGGCAAGCGGAGGCCGTGCAGTTTCTCTTGGACAGAAGCCACACGTGGTCTCCGATTCGGAACCATATGTAAGCTTATATCGGATGACCGCGTACATGATTGATGCGGGTCTGACAGTGGAATGAGTATGTCTCTAGTCTGTGGACTTCTCTCTAGACCGTGCTCCTGCTGCGACATTTGTCCGTAGTCAGCTCCACCTGCAAGCATCTTGTAGGGTGGACCCGCCTGCTGATATGAAATTAGCTGTGAGTGTCCAATGAACCATTCGATCCCTATTTCCGTCATCGGGGAAATGCTGTGATCGCTTGAGATTGATGCTCCCAGGCTACCGCCTGTGCTGACAGTCGGTTCCGACCGTTGTGTATGTTCCTGATCGTGGTAGGTCATTCAACGAGATCGAGATCGAGATCTGAGAGAGAATTGCTGTGCATCTCCTACCCTCCCAGCCACAGGCTGCCAGCCTCGGCGCACAAGTGCGTACTAAGCGCCTTGGCCCTCCCACTTCGCTCGGACGACTTCATCCTCCTCCTCGGCCGGGATAATGTCATATAGTTGCAACAATGTTACTCAGGCCTATTACGTTCTGAGCAGTGAGAGCTCAGCCATATGCTTTGTTTCATGCGCAATATTATTTTCTCTTGTCAATAGAAATCTATCCGTGAATTATGCAAATTGTGCACAGGCGCTGATGCCAAATCGCTTACGGTTAGCTCGAGACTTTGAGCCTCCGCGTGCAGTCGGTGCGTACAACCACCGAACCATTTGTTCCCTGAGTCCGATGCCCAAGCGGAAGTCTGAGTTCCTGTAAGGGAAGATTTACGGGCCTGTGCTGTACTAATATGTGTGAATCCCCTGAACTTGATCAAGCACGAGTCGGAAGCACTGCTTCCGCATGCGCTGATGCGCAGGCAAAACGGCAGCTGCGATGCCTCCCCTAGTATGCGAAGCGCGATAGAAGCTGCACAATATTTAGCTTTCATAAAGCTTTGTGGATCTCATGATAGGACATTCCATGCAACCGCCACTAAGGGTCGTTCACCGCCTAAAGGAAGGCGATGACATATGCGTGCGTGCCTGTTTGGCAGCTTTCGGCAGCCTGGTTATTGCTGGTCGATAGCTAGATGTCATAATCTCCGTCAAGGGACCTTAATAAAGCAAAGCTGCACTACCTTCTCCCGGCACGTCACCGGAGTGAAATTATTTACGCCGTTAGAACCGAGGCAATGCACCAGGTACTGGTCTGAATTTCACGCATCGAGATCCCGCACCAATGCCCAGCCGCATATATAAGACTGAATTGTGCTGGACAATTCTCACCACATCCAGTCGACCTCCAAACAACTAGATCCCATCGCGGCCAAGCAACAAACATCGACGAAGATGCTGCGCCTCAGTGAAGCCTCCTAGTAAGCTTGTAGTCTCACAGTGCTCACTACGTGTTGCTGATCACGTAGTATACTATGCAGCGCCCACACCAGCGACGTCCTTGAAAAAGCACCGGCATCTTACTGCAGGCTACCTGTGCGTGATGTTGTCAGTGATATTTCACGTGAATCGTGTGTCACGTCTGATGCACGGTGTCTTTCTCACCAGTCGCAAACAGCTGCGGACGTAGCGCGGATAGCGATCCGTGAATGCTTCGAGAA